GTATAATTTGAAGGCTTGGTGTTAAATGAATCTCAACGTAAATGGTAATATTCTTTTTATTGACAAAATATCTAGAACAATATGATAGAACATCTCTTTCTTTATTGCATTTTGAAAAATACACTTTGCAGTTGTTGGTGTCTTCTCTAGAAAGGTTGGAAGGAGATAAAAAGAAAGCCAACCTCAGCAAGAAGAACTTATGGGTAAATGTAGATAATTCACCTTTGTGAATCACAGTCACCTGCTTTAAGATTCTGTTCAGTGTTCGCTCTTCCAAGTCAGACATTGCTTCACACCATCAACTTTACCCTTTGTCTAATGCCGCAACCTTAACTTTATTTTGCCAAGAATTATCTTTCATAATTTAGCAGAAAGTCAAAGCTTTATCTCAATTTTACAGTGATTGCTCCCATGGAGTTAAGAAGAAAGTAGATGAATAAGAGGAGTGAATGAAACTGCTCATGGAGAAGAACAGCTCCCACCCATCTTGACGTGGGCCAAGCATAAGAAACATCATCCTGGGAGGCAGGATCCACCAGCGACCTGTGTCCAGGTGTCTGTCTGTCCCTTGTGCAGGGATGGGTAAGGTAGACCAGCCGTCTGCTGCTTGAGCTTTTTTACGGTTCGCGTGGACTTCCAAGAACATCAGAAGGAATGTCTCCAGACACATTCACCTTGCTAGATTGTAGAAGCAGCAAGAATCCAGGCCAAAAACTAAAGGACATTTTTTAAAGTGAAGAAGGTGCTGTCCCTCCAGATGGTGACCGCCTGTGCCTGGTAACTCCAGAAACGCTATCTGCTGCCTCTGGATTTTAGTAGGTAACTCAGGGCTAACTGTGAAGGTTTTCCCTGAAGTTTTTGTGTAATAAACTCAGCTCTGTCTTGGAACTTGGGCTGAATGGCTTCTTTCTGATCTGGACTTTCAACATGGTTCTTTCTCTTCCTAAAACTGGGAATCTGGTTTTAGAAACAACCCTTCCACTTCTGGAAAGGTTTTCCATTTATAAACATGCTCTGAGATGCCAGGGGACACTCAGTCTTGGGCATCTCAGTGGAGCATCAGTGGGCAGGCAGGCTGCGTGGGCCCTCACCTCTGCAGTCTCAGCTGCTGGCTTTGAGTTTGTGTGTGGGCCTCAGTGTGGAGCTGATTCTTGTCCACCTTACCTCAGGGACTGATGCTCTTTTCCGGTGTTCTCTCTCCCAGGCTGTTCCTTCAACCACAGTCTGCAGCCAGGCATTCATCTCCTGGGAGCCCAGCTGCAGGCACGTCTTGCGCAGCAGAGCCACTGGCCTTGCTGAGTGGGAGAAGAAAGGAAAGCAAAACAGAGCCACAGACCACACCCACCTGTGGAATGCTATGCACTCAAGAAGCAAGACAGCTGCCAAGTCCTATTAGAAAATGCACAACTTCTTTCTCACCAGAATGAGCCATTCTCCTCCATATCTGGAAGTGTGTTGGAGTGTTTTTAAGCAACCTGATTTGAGCCCTTTTGTGTAGGATATTTCCAAGTCAAGCTCTGTGTTGCAGTGTCTGTATCTGAAGCAGAGTTTAGTGGATATGTGTCCATTAGTGTCCATGTGTATCCGTGTATGTGTGTGTGTGTGTGTGTGTGTGTGTGTGTGTGTGTATGTGTGTGTGTGTGTGTGTGTGTGTGTAACATCATGGGGCACCTTGGTCACTCCATCTGTGCACACTTTATGTATATGAACAGTGCTGGTCTGGGAGCTAATCCTCTGAAGCTGTTGGTTCCCTTTGCATGTGACTTCCTACTGAGAAGCTTTTTGCAGGCAGGAGGGGTTACCAGGGATTGAACTCAGGGGCACTCAGCCACTGAGCCACATCCCCAGCCCTATTTTGTATTTATTTAGAGATGGGGTCTCGCTGTTGCTGAGGCTGGCTTTGAACTCTCAATCCTCCTGCCTCAGCCCCCCAAGCTGCTGGGATCACAGGCCTGCACCACCGCGCCAGGCCCCACAGAGAAGCTTTTAAGAGCATTTTGTTGGATGGTGTCCCTGGGCCTCCCGCCCCCGTTGTGCTAGCCACACCTGCCTGTTCCCAGCCTGCTCCTCTGGCAGGTCCCATGCCTCTATCTTCTCTCCTGGTGCAACTGGTGCCCGGGAAAGATGCAGCTCCTGAGTTGTGGGGGAGGGGGCTCATTTGTGGTGCCACCCTGAGCTGGGCACAGCCAGGCTGTGGGAGGTCCTGGGCAGGATTTGGTTCAGGAATGCCCAAAGTCACTGCAGGAAAAGCCAAAGAGGAGGGAGGGTTCCTGGAGCCCAGAGTCCCCCTTCACCTAGAGCATGCTAGTGCAGTGACGTAGGGTGATCACCTCTTCTGGGCAGGGCCACTGGAGGCTGCCTGCCTGTCTTTGTCCATGTTCTTCATCTTCTATAAAGGTCTTTGCTGATTACCACTGGGGATATCTTTGTCAGGCACATGGGTTGAGGGTTGCATGTGGCCACAGGCTTAGAAACCCGGCAGGTGTCCGATGCCCTCTCACAGGGCTTGCCTCACCTTCTTGGTCACCCTGTTGGTCTGGAATGAGTTGAGAGGCTGCAGCCTCCTCTGTGGTTTCTCAGGTTCATTTTCCTATCCCTGTTTGCAGAGCCACATGCCACTTCTGTGATCGCTGACTGGCAGGTGTGGCTGCCTGTGCTGTAGCCGG